TCCACAGTTCCTAACAGCTTGCTTCCTGCAGCATCCAGAGCGATCCAAAGCTCTTACCACGGCCTCCAATAGTCTTACCTGCCTCACATAATTCCTGATCCAAGAGTTTTGCTCCTAATGTTCCATCCATCAGGAACACACTTTCCCCAGATGTCTACGTTTCCATCATTTCCTGAATACACTCCGTCTATGCAAACAGTCTGCCACCTCTCCCTCTTGATTCGCTACCTAATAGCTACCAGGTACTTCTTTTCACCTCCCTTTACTTTAATCCAGCCTACGAAGCAGGTAGCCTCATTTCCTTTACCACTGCGTATGCATTTCTTCAAACAGTGACAAAGAAGTAACTTACCATTATGTATTTTCACCTGATGCAATAAATAGTCAGTTCTAACTGTGAGGCTTGGGGTTGTCTCTGAGAGCCTCAGTATCAGGAAGAAGCCAGGCTGACCAGGTAATTGGTTTCTCTTCTCGTGCTACCTGAGGCCTTGGCGGAACTCTCCAAGACTGCTCACCCATTTAAAAATAGTGATGTCTGGAGGCCAGGGCATCTGCAGCTCTTTGGAGCTTCTAAGGAACCTGGACAGCTCAGCTCTGGGGCACAGAGATGCCGAGACCTCCGGCTGCCTAGAAAGGCCTGAGGGGGCTGAGGGGCGGGTCAGCTGGACGACTCAGTCGTGGGTACAGAGATGCGGAGACCTCCCGGTGCCTAGAAGGTCCGCAGGCACAAAGAAGGCGTGCAAGTCCCTGCTTCCACTCGCCGGCTTTGTTCTGAGGACTGGGTGTGGTTCGGTGAGGGGTACACGGCAGCGTTCCGGGCTCCAGTAGCGCGGGGCTCCGGCGGATGGTGCCGCCCTGGGTCTCAGGGGTGCCTGCCTTCGTCCAGCATCTCCTGTGCGTGTGGGGGAATGACAGGACCTGCCCAGGCTGTCGGGGACCAGGCTCTCCCAGGACGACCCAACCGCGGAGCTGTGTCCAAGGCCAGCTGTGTCGCCAGTGAAGACACTGGGGTCTGGAGGAGGGGGTAGGCTTGCCCAGGAATTTATGCCCTCAACCCACACCACCCTTCGCAGAAACTGAAGATATGGAAAAAGCTTATAGGCTGACCCTGCTTATCAAAAGGGGAGACAGCATATTCCGAGGCTGAACAATTTTAAGAAATCAGCAATCAGGAAAACATTTAGCTTCCATTAAAGGCTTTATGTTTAATACTTATTATTCTTGTTACTGTTATTATTACTATTGTTGTAATTTGAGATAGGATCTCACTGTGTAACCCTGGCTGACTTAAAACTTGTTCTGTAGACCAGGTTGGCCTTGAACTCAGAGATCCGCCTGCCTCTGCTTCTGGAGTGCTGGGATTAAAAACATATTCGGCCATCTACTAGTCTTTTTGAAAAAAATTATTATTCTTGTGGAGTGTGTGTGTGTGTGTGCACATGTAGAATCTAGAGAACAACTTTGTGAAGAATTTCAGGCTTGCTTGGCAAGCACTTTTATACACTGAGCCATCTTGCCAAACCCTGTATCCTTGTCCCCACCCCCTTTTTTTTAAGTTCTGTTTATGTGTATATATCATGTGGGAGTGGCGTTTGCATGTAAGTCTTGGGGTCTAGAGGAGGGTTGGAGTTCACTTGACATGGGTGCTGGAAACTGAACTTGGGTCTTCTGGGAAAACAGTATAAACTCTTAACCACTGAGCCACCTCTCCAGGCCTCTATCCTCGTCTTCTTAAAGACACTTTATAGCCAAGGTAATTGCTCTTCGGGTGCAAATGCAAGACTTCAGGGGACTTCTCAGTTGGAGTGTATTTTGCAAGAAAAGAATATGGAGAATCTTAGATAGATAAACAAGTGGTAGAAAGGAATAGGTTTGCCATGTTAGAAAGAGGATTTCTTTCAGACACAAGGCTTGTCGCTAGTTACATGCTCTAGAGCAACTCATCCACTCTCTGGAAACCTCACATCTTCATCTTTAAGAGAAGGAGGATGGTTCACAGTTCTGCAGGTCAGGACGTTAACAGAAGACGCAACACTGCCCTGAGTGTAAATCTCTCACGTGTATCTGTTTACAGCTACTCAAGAACCCATTAGGAACTTCTGCACTGAACTCAAGGAGGCGATCAGGAAAAGTCTGCTGGACAGATCCTTCGGAGCAAAGCATTTACTATGCCTGAGAATGAGGGTGAGTTGTTCTCTTCTCTCCTGAGTGAGCGACAGCCAGCCTGCCTGTGAAGTTAGTCTGGAGAACCCTGGAATCTTGCCCATTAAAGGAGATGGGATTAGGGCTGAAAATGATGCTTTCTTTTCTCCTCCCTGCAGTTTCCCCCTTCTGCCTCTCTCTCTCTCTCTCTTTGCGCCACCCTCAAAACTGCTATGTTATATAGTCAAAGACTGGCCTTGAACTCCTGATTCTCCTGTCTCCACCTTCCAAGATTATATACTTACACCACTGTGTCTGGCAGAAAGGCAAAATTTCTCGAGGATATTATCAAGTAATAGAGAACGAAGAGATGAGAGAGAGGGAACCTCTGGACCTTGAGGAGAGAGGTTGGGGTGATGGGAAAGAGTGATACAAGGGAACTCAGACTTGGGTGTCATGAAACTTAAATTTGAATTCTATAGTCTCCCTATCCGTCCATTGGATGTAAGATTTGGAGCTGGGTCATCACATGAAATATGATGACCCAGTTTCTGTCACTCAAGTTGCTGTGAGTTCCAGGTCAGCCTGGGCTACCTAGTGAGACCTTGTCTGAAAAATAAAAACCAAAAAAGTCTAGTATGCTGATCTGTCCATTCTAGCTTCCAAAATTCTGACAGTCTCTGAAGAGTTTGACCAGTTTCCTAGTGAACGTAGACCCTTGGATGGTTTATACTCAGATATAGTTGCTAGGACTACAAATACCTTGTCATATTTACTTAGAATATGGAGTCTTTTTAAGATAATTATTGCAGCCTGGCATGGTGGTACATGCCTTTGATACTAGCACTTGGGAGGCAGAGGCAGACAGATCTCTGTTAGTTCAAGGCCAGCTTGATCTACTTAACAGAAAACCAGAGCTGATATATATCCGGGCAGTGGTGGCGCACGCCTTTAATCCTAGCACTTGGGAGGCAGAGGCAGGCGGATTTCTGAGTTCGAGGACAGCCTGGTCTACAGAGTGAGTTCCAGGACAGCCAGAGCTACACAGAGAAACCCTGTCTCGAAAAACCAATATATATACATATACATATATATATGTTTATGGGTGTTTTACCTTCATGTATATGTGTGCATCATGTACATGCCTGGTGCCCATGAAGTTCAAAAGAGGGTGTCAGAGTCTGTAGAACTAGAGTTACAGATGGTTCTGATCCCCATGGGGGTGCTAGGAATTAAACCTAGGTCCTCTATAAGAACAGCAGGGAGAGACTGCTGAACCAGTCTCCAGTTTCAAAGTAGCCCTTCTTCATCAGATATGATCTGATACTTGTCTTCCTCCTTGAGTTCCATACAAATACTGTGAGCTTCATCACAATGACTCACCAAGTGTTAAGGAGATGTTAGTGAGAGAGAGCCAATGTCATGTTTACAGAAGGATAAGTTCAGGAAATGTATTGGTCACAGTATAACAGCATGTTGTATCCTTAAGTTCCTCTCAGTACATACAAACAGTTAAATGGTTATATTAGCTTCACTTAACTATCAGAGAACACGCTGTGAATACACAGAGCTTTTATCTTTAGCTCTTTTTTTTTGAGGCAGAAGCTTATGCAGTACAGTGTTTGTTAAATGAGGGAAAGGTTGTAGGGTGCAGGGTTATATCTTCTGTATGTTGAACTCTTCAATAGTATGTTCATAGTCTGAAGGACACACAGTGTGAGGAGGACGCACAGTGTGAGGACTTGTGTGTTGGTGTGAGGACGTGTGCACTGGTGTGGTGCAGTCACCTGACTGTCAGCGTGCTTTTATAACTTCGGCCCCTCCAGGTTTGAGGGCGGCAGAGGTTACATACATATGCAGAGTTTTGTACGGAGGTGATCAGGGGATCCCTGTTTGCTCCTGATACATGGTTTTATGTCTGAGCCCCTCTTATGGTGCTGTCCCCTGCTCTCTGCCCACATTACTGTTACACTGTACACAGTCCTAGCAGAGGTCCTTTGTTACTCTTAAACTCTTCCTCAAGTTCCTTCAGTTGCAAAACAGACACGTAAAACTAGCACAGAAAGCTGGCTCTGGCCTCAGATAAGCCCTGCAAGCTATGCTGTGCCGGACTCACGTCAGTATTGGAAGGATGGTGTGAACAGCCACCAGGCGGCTTACACACAGAGATGCAGGCTGGGGCCTGGTGCCCAGGCCTCGAGAAAAACATAAAACCTTAGCTGTACACTAATACAGTCTGAGTTGCTATTCTGTAGTTCTGTTTGCTCAATGCCATCCGCTGCCTCACTATTGCTTAAGGAAATAGTTCAGCAAGAAGCTAGACCAGTCTAAACATTAGGCATTTCAGGTACCAAGAACCTCTGGGCATACTTTTTCTCAGTACAAGAGTATACCTGACCCTGCCTTTCAGTTATTTTGCTCCCATTTTGAACAAGAAGAAAACAGAGTGGATTTTATACTGTCCATTGCTTTTTCTGAGACTGGACATGCTGGGCTCTTCTCTTTGTCTGTCTTTAACTTTTATTGTCTTTTATCTAACCTCACTTTTCTCATTATTTTGAACAGTTCTCTGCTTTTGAACACTTGCCCTTCTACGTGAGACTCTGCCACCTACTCCATCTTGTCTTCCTTCAATAATTCTCACTCTGTTACAGAGAAGGTGGGGTATATACACGTTCTCTTTCCTGTCAGGTGGTGAAATAGACTGAGGGGGTATTAATTCTAAGGCATCATTCCTGAAAATCAGAGTCATGTCTTACCCCCAAGAGAATTCCATATAAGTGTCGCAGAGGAAGTAAAAGATTTAAAAGGAAAAGATAAGACGAGAAGGGCCACGGGGGATGCCCCAGCTGGAGAGGATGCGGAGAAAGACAGGAAAGTTCAAACATAAGACATTGGAAGATGACAAGTCACCCACCGAAGGGAGTGACCACAATCATGAAAACAGTGGTCGTCAGTTCTGTGCCTCCAAAACAGGGAAGAGAGGTCGTGGTGAAAGGAGACAGTTTGTGTGCACTGAGTGTGGAAAAGCCTTCAGTCAGAGTGCCAACCTTACTGTGCACGAGCGAATCCACACAGGAGAGAAGCCTTATAAATGCAAGGACTGTGGGAAAGCCTTCAGTCACAGCTCCAACCTTGTGGTTCATCGAAGAATCCACACTGGACTGAAGCCGTACACATGCGGTGACTGTGGGAAGTCTTTCAGCGGTAAGTCACACCTCATCCGGCACCGGGAAGTCCACAGTGTGGAGAAAACGTACAAATGTAAAGAGTGTGGGAAGGCCTTCAGCCGGAGCTCAGGCCTCATCTCTCACCACAGAGTTCATACCGGCGAGAAGCCCTACACTTGCATTGAGTGTGGGAAATCGTTTAGCAGGAGTTCAAACCTCACTCAACATCAGAGAATGCACAGAGGGAAAAAGATTTACAAATGTAAAGAGTGTGGGAAAACATGTGGTTCCAATACAAAGATTATGGACCATCAGAGAATTCACACTGGGGAGAAGCCCTATGAGTGTGATGAGTGTGGAAAAGCCTTCATCTTCAGGAAGGCTCTTAATGAACACCAGAGACTCCACCGCAGAGAGAAACCTTACAAATGTAAGGAATGTGGGAAAGCTTTTACTTCTAACCGGAACCTTATAGATCATCAGAGAGTCCACACTGGAGAGAAGCCTTATAGATGTAACGAATGTGGGAAAACCTTCAGGCAGACGTCTCAGGTTATCCTACATTTAAGAACTCACACTAAAGAAAAACCCTACAAGTGTAGCGAGTGTGGGAAAGCTTATCGTTACAGCTCACAGCTCATTCAGCATCAAAGAAAGCATAACGAAGAGAAAGAAACCTTACTGTTTACCAGCCACGTGTGATGGCACACGCCATCAATCCTGCTGTTTAGAAGGCAGTGACAGGGAGGTCTAAATGACTTTTCGACCAGGCTGGTCTACTTAGTGAGTTCTAGACCAGGCAAGGCCACAGAGTGAGAGCCTGTCTTGGGAAAACAAAATTGGCAATAATATTAATATTACTACTTTTCTGAAAATTAGATTTTTAGTAACCTTAAACTTAATTCTGCTTCTATGAATCCATACACAGAAAATAGTAAGTAGCTAAAGTCTAACAGAAGAGATGTTCATGCCAGCATTATACATAACAGAAAGTGAGAACAAAGAGTCAAAATATCAAACCAACCAAATAGAGACCACCCAAACTGTAGATTATTACATGTGCAGGGTGAAAGGAATGATAGACTATTCATATTATGCTTCTGAAACTATTTTGTTTTTTTTTTAAAGAATTTTTAATATATGCCATGGCAGAAATTTCTGGACACCATGGAAAGTGAAGGAATGAAATATCCAGATAAAATATTTTTGCCTAGGAAAAACAGGGAAAGAGGAGAGAACCAAACCTACATTTTCACCGTGGTTATCTCTAGGTGATAGATTGTAGATGATTTCTATTTTCTTCTGTATACTTTTTAGGCTTTCTAGATTTTCTACAATGAGAGTGCTACTTTTATAGTTACGAAAAGGTATAATCTATTTTAAATACGAGTTCATGCTTGTTTTTATTCAGTGGTAGGAAAGGATCTATTGTGTAGTTTTTAAAATCTTGGGTTTCACCCAAATACTGGCACTGGCGGAAGTAGAATTATGAGTGAATCCATTTCTTTTAGAATCCACTTCCTGCTACTGAAACTGGGGTTGCCTTTGTTCTCTGCAGGGTCAGACTCTGTGATCAACAGCGCTGCC